AATTCTGACCACGAAGGTGATGACCACTGGAACTCCCGGTAAAATCATCACTGCAGTGCCCAAACTTGCTACTGCAGCCGGTCAGCAGGGACTGACACAGGTAAACTGATGTCATATGTGCGCTAGGCTTTGTCAATGTCATCTTTGTGGTAGAGCCCTTGTTCTACCCATTAATGAATCAACCGAGGAGAGTAATTATATATTTTATATCTTAAGGTGGTTTTGAAGGGGGCTCCCGGACAACCAGGAACCATTCTGCGTACTGTGCCCATGAGCACAGTGGGTGGTGTTCGACTTGTTACACCTGTGACAGTATCTGCTGTGAAGCCCACTGTCACTACTCTGGTTGTGAAGGGGACTACTGGTAAGAATAATTATGTTTAAAAGTGATTAAAAACATTATCACAGATTCTGTTCTTTGTGGATCTTCTCTCTCTCTCACTCATATTAATGCCACTTTTCTTTCTTCTAGGTGTCACCACTCTTGGAACAGTCACTGGCACTGTCTCCAGCAGCCTGGCAGGAGCTACGGTGGACAGTTCCAACGCCTCTCTAGTCACCCCCATCACCACGCTAGGAACCATCGCGACCCTGTCCAGCCAGGTCATCAGCCCAGCTGCCATAACTGTGTCAGCTGCTCAGACCAGCCTGACCTCTGCCTCCACTCTGCCCTCCTCTACCATCACAGTGCAGGTAAGCCCCATTATCTTGTCATCCATCTGGCTGTATTTAGCATATCTATCATCTGGAAGGTTGTGGCAACAGTTTGCACCATAAGCTTTTTAGATTATAACCTAAAAGCAAAGTTCACAGCATTACAGAGAAGACATTTATTTATGAGTCTAAAACATACTGTATTGCTGAAACTACAACTAGACTGAAATTGCTGTCCTCTCCTCAGAACCAGCCAACCCAGGTGACTTTAATCACAACTCCCAGTGGAGTAGAAGCTCAACCGGTGCAGGATCTACCAGTTTCCATCCTGGCTTCACCAACCTCGGAGCAGCCCAGTTCCACTGAGGCTGGAGCAGCTGGAGACGGATCTGGGACTGTCACCCTTGTCTGCTCCAACCCACCCTGTGAAACCCACGAGACCGGAACCACCAACACAGCCACCACTTCCTCTGCCACAATCGGAGCTGGACAAGTCTGTTCCAACCCACCTTGCGAGACCCATGAAACCGGAACGACCAACACAGCTACCACCTCCTCTGCTACAATGGGAGCCAGGCAGGTCTGTTCTAACCCACCATGTGAGACCCATGAAACGGGAACCACCAACACAGCCACAACTGCATCCTCAAACATGTCTGCGCCTCGTGTGTGCTCCAACCCACCATGCGAGACTCACGAAACTGGGACAACTAACACAGCTACCACAGCATCCGCTAACATGGGTGGGTCCCAGCAGGTTTGCTCCAATCCACCCTGTGAGACCCACGTGACAGGAACCACCAACACATCCACTCAGGCATCGTCTAACATTAACGCAGGCCAGACGAGCACCGTGCAGAGGGTGTGCTCCAACCCGCCCTGCGAAACCCATGAGACAGGGACCACCAACACCCCGTCCACAGCAACCTCCAGTATGGGAGGTGACCAGACCAACACAGCAACAGGGACGGTCCAGAGGGTGTGCTCCAACCCACCCTGTGAAACACACGAGACCGGGACTACCAACACAGCCACCACTGCCACCTGCAGCATGGAGACAGGCGAAGGCACAGGTTTGAATTATTGCTGATGTTATAGAATAGTTTTTTATGTTCTTAATCTTCCACTAACACACACAGCAAAAGTAGTTTCACAAATGCTGACTTGCCATGGTAGAAACTTGCCTTATTTTCAGGAAATGAAATGGTATTAATGAGGATCACTGCTAAATAATGTATTTATATCCTACCAGCAGCCCAGCAGACAGAGGAAGGAACTGAAGGTACCAGCAGCACAGAAGTGGCCTCTACCACTGCAGCAACAGGCATGGCCGCCGCCGCCGCTACCACCACCACCACCACCCAGGGCAGGGCCATCACTACTGTCACTCAGTCTACACAAGTCCCAGGGCCCTCTGTACCAGTAAGAATAGTGCATATTACTAACCCTTACCCTATCTCAGGGCTGCGTGTGTGCATCTGATGATGTAATCATCATCATGATACATGATACTAAAATATGTATATTTTCTTTCCAGTCAATTTCATCAATCACAGAGGGTGTGAGTACTGCTGCCAGCTCTACAGAGGAACCAATGCAAACTAATGAGGCAGCATCAGCAGAAGCTGCACCAGCAGAGGAGGGAGCTACCGCTATGGAGACACAGGCAGAAGTAAATACAGTATAATGTCACACAAAGGCAGTGTTGGCTCCACATTCTGAAATTCCAAATTATGGATTCATTTTTTAGTCATTTGACGGAACTTCTGTGTTCTGTCAGGGAGAAGCAGCCGCGACAGATTTGAACCTGCCCTCGGAGCTGATGTCTGAGGGTCAGGGAGCTACACTCATGGTGACAGGGCTGTCGGATGAGGAGCTGGCTGTGACCGCAGCAGCAGAGGCCGCTGCTCAGGCAGCAGCCACTGAAGAAGCCCAGGCCCTTGCTATCCAGGCTGTCCTCCAGGCAGCTCACCAAGCTGTAATGAGTAAGTTTAACCATAAGCTTGTACAGCAAGTTTTTTTCTGCTAACTCAATTGTGATTTTTCAAGAGTGGCCTCAAGGGACCAGGCCTGGCCATAGGTGATTGAAAAGACAGAGTGCAGTTTTTTTTTTTTTACTTATAGCCAACAACTGGATGATCCTCAGGAGAACAAGCTCTTTAACAAAGATCTTACTTCTCATGAAGAGGTCATGGATGTAATATGAATGAAATCCTAAATGTTCTCCATGTCTACAGATGAGGGTGATTCCGCTGGAGAGAGCCAGCAGCCCACCAACATCCCCATCATGCTGACCCAGCAGGAGCTCGCAGCTCTGGTACAACAGCAGCAGCAGCTGCAGGAGGCTCAGGCTGCAGCCCAGCAGGCCACCGTTGATGCAAGCTTACCTACTGAAGGCCTCGCCCCTGCTGACAGCCTCAACGACCCCTCTGTCGAGAGCAACGGACACAACGAGATGGCTGCCGCGGTCACCAGTGCTGTGGCATCTCTACTGCCACGCACCACTGCTGAGAGTAAGACTTGGTGTTTGTTTTTATAGTTTTGGATTTTATTTAGTGCAATAGCCTGACCCTTTGTATTAAACCTTTTTCTCCACAGCACTTGCTCCATCAAGTACCTTTGCACCCTCTGTATCGGTGGCAAGTCCAGCCAAGCTGCAAGCAGCAGCGGCTCTAGCAGAAGTCGCCAATGGCATAGAGGGAGAGGTGAGTCATTGTTTAGTTACTGAACTTCTGATTGGTCGAGACAAAGACAGAAAAAAATGTTTTAAGTGAATGAGCATTTTCTTTTTCTTTTATACAGAAGCAAGCCCCTCAGCCAACCCCAGTGAAACCAGTTGTAAAGAAAGAGAATCAGTGGTTTGATGTTGGAATCGTAAAAGTGACAAATATGGTTGTCACCCACTTCTATGTGCCAACAGATGATTCTCATGGAGATGTGAGTGTCACAGGAGGCTTCCCTCATGGTCAGATAACTGTATGTAAAGTGTCTCGGTGCATCTCTAATATTAAAATTCTTTTTTGATTGCAAGGATGACTCTGGCATCATGCCAGACTACAGCCAGATGAAGAAAATGGAGTTGCAGCCTGGAACAGCTTATAAGTTCCGCGTTGCTGGAATCAACGCTTGCGGTCGCGGAGCATTCTCAGAGATTTCAGCTTTCAAGACTTGCTTACCAGGCTTCCCAGGGGCCCCTTGCGCCATCAAAATCAGCAAGGTAAACACTCAAGTGAACCATTTATCCCGTTGTCTTGTTTTTATTGTAATTCTACAGTAACACCGGATAATCTCATGAGCCATGCTTTCAGGGACTGATCAGTATCTATTCACTCTTCAACCTCAGAGCCCAGATGGTGCCCACCTGACCTGGGAGCCACCTTCGGTGACATCAGGGAAGATCATCGAATACTCTGTGTACCTTGCCATCCAGAGCAACCAGACAGCTGAAGCCAAGGCCTCCACCCCAGCCCAGCTAGCCTTCATGCGGGTGTACTGTGGACCCAACCCGTCGTGCTTGGTGCAGTCGTCCAGCCTCTCCAACGCCCACATCGATTACACCACCAAGCCTGCCATCATCTTCCGCATCGCCGCCCGCAACGAGAAGGGCTATGGTCCTGCCACCCAAGTTCGATGGCTGCAAGGTGAGCACGGCACATCAAAAGCTTACGCGCGAATGTTAATTTTAAATAAAGTGAGAGATTTTTAACAAATGTGGTGTTTCGTAGAATCTGGCAAAGACGCTGCCTCAGCAAAACCGGCCCCCAAAAGACCAGGCACCTCTCCTGATACGTAAGTACAGTGTTGAGGTTTCATATTGAGCATACAGGCTCCACAATAACATGACACTGATGAAAGAAAAACATGCAATGCTTACTCTGGATTTATGTGTGCTTCACAGTAAGGCTACTGGTCCAAAGAAAGCAAGGACGGACCAGTGAGGTTGCCCAGAGACCCCTCCCAGTCTTTTGTCCTTTTTCCACTCGCTGTCCTTTTATCAGGAAGACTGACCTTCACCCTTCCTCCACCTCCTCATCCTCCTCCTCATCCTAATCTCATCTTCCACCCTCAAGTCTCAGATCAAGACAGCAGTGGAGGCAGAACAACCGTATGAAGCCGAGATGAAAGTCAATCTGAGATGTTTTCTGTAGATAAAAACCCTCCTTCCTCCTCGTTCTGTTGGTCGTACTATTTTTAGAGCAACAAAAACTTAGAAGCACATTATCTTTTTTCAGCCACATCCTCTTCCATCCTTTAACATCTATTTTTGGCTTGTTTCAGTAGTTGAGCAGTATAGAGAAGCATTTACATCTTTCACAAACTGGGAGTCAGCCTGAGCGCAATGTTACTTTTTTTTTTGTCTTTGTTTTGTGAATCCTGGGGGGATGTAGAGAGAGACTACATGAAATGATGTACAGTGTTGGAAAAAAAAGGCTGTGGAGGCATTAGATTAGATGAGAGGAAAAATCGGTATGGAAACAAATAAAGCACTTGTCCTCGACGACAGAGGACATCACTTTTTCCTTTCTTTTTTGCTCAAAACAAATTTGCATCATCAAGAGCCAAGTCTGTATAGTCATTGTACTGGACTCCAGTCTCCTGGTATTGTCATCACTGTGCGCTTTTTTCCCCCCGACATGAGGACTGGTGGCCGACACTTTGAAGTGGACAAAGAAAAGAACAACAAAGGAAGAGATTTGTGGAGAATGAACGACTTGACAGACTTTGCTAGAATTGAGACTTGAGCAGCACACACAGAAAAAAAAACTTGCAAAAATCTTCCCAAAAAATTAGCAAGCAATGACGCAGATCTTTTGTGTAGTTTATTTTTGTATTTTTTAAGCTTTTTTTCTCCTGTGTGTATGTGTATGTTGTGTGCATTTTTAAAAGCATCACTTTTTTTAACTGTTCATCCCCATAGTTTGTGTTTGTGGGAAGATTGGTGGCTGTGTTGAGGTTGCCACTATATTTTTAAAGAAAACATCTTCATTCAGTTGGTCGTATGTTCCTGTTGTTCAGATTGTGGCGAAAGAGAGAAAGACTTTTGTATTTGTTCCAAGTAGAACCGAAGAGGTTACAGGACTGAAGGGAACTTTGAAGTGGACCCAGGGAGAGGAGAGTTTTTACTTTTGTTTACTACTCAATGCTTGTGTTGCTCTGTTTGCCAAACATGGAATCTTCGCGGGGGGGGGGTATGTGGACAGAATAACACCAGATCTTTTCATACCTTTCCCCCTAAATACTCCCAAATCAGTTGTCCTACGCTTTTTATGCTCATGAATGTGGTGTCTCACCTCTTCTTTAATTTTTAGAATGGCAAATTATATTAGTAGACCTATTTTCCCTATCCTATTGATGTATGTGAATCCATTTAATAAATTTTAATTTTTTTCCTTCCATGGCTCTGTATTTCAGACTACAGATGGTGTGCAAGCTAACTGTGACGTGTAAAACCCGTATGTCTTTGAATGGGGATGTCTTTGGGAAGAAAGCTTACACAGCCGGAGTGTACTCACTTGTAAATTAGTTCGTTCATAGAGCAAGAATAAAACAAAGAAAAAAAACATCTTGGCCTTTTATATAATTACCTGTAACAAACTGTTTTTACATGTTGGTCATCTCTTGATTGCCTTTTGTGTCTTTACTTATAAAAGAAACAAATATATATATATATAAATATATATAGTCTCCCTGATTGTTCTAATTTGCTTCTGTCAGGCTGATTCACTGTAGGAGTCTGAATCACTGCTCGGTTCATTACAGTACAAACTTGTACAGGGAGGAGGTTTCTGAGCGGACATGAGTGTATATCTACTTTTTAAAGGGCGAATTCAGTTGTGATGGTAATGGCCAGGAACGATGATCAGAGCCGAGGTTTTCCGCTTGCCGCCTTTTCTCCGGCTCGCGCCTCGGCTTCCGTTGTGGTTTTCTCCCTGATTTTTCTTTCTAGAGACAAAACTTTTCTCTTCATATGCATTCATGATTTTGTGCGTGTCAGTGTGTCTGTTGAACAAAACTAGACATGCATGCAAAAGCAGTGTATTTTAGTAGTGATGCCTTAAGTTAGACCATAAGCTGAAGGTTCTCAAAAAAAGAAAAAACATTTAATGAGTTTGTTCCTCTCTCCATGTGGTATACAATTGTGTCCTTTCCTTCCACAGTACCTTTGCTGGGTCACTATTTTTGCACCCTCGTTAGATAGGTCATCATCAGCAGTGCCGAGGTCTCTCTGAACTTTCCCTCCCATGCGGGGACGAGTGCTGCTCTCAGCACTCACAGGTGTTGCGAGTTTCTGTCGGCTGTTTGCAGGTTATCTGGAAATGTCCTGTATTTTCCAATGTGTGTTTTTTGTACTGTAGGGAGTAATGTATCTTTTATCATCAAAAAATAAACATGTTAAACATAGAGAGAGTTTGATGTCTTTGTTCTCTCAAATACAAAACAGAAAGCAAAATTGAAAGTCATTCACCTGTTGTAGGCCGATCTCAGCCGCTCTCAGAAACGGCTTCTCTATGCCCACATCTTCTTTGGCGCTTCCTTCAAAGTAGTGGGCTCCGATTTCCTCACACCACTGCAGAGCTGTCCTGCTCGACACCTGCAGGATGTGATGTCACAAATTAGTTTCTACAATAAAGACAAAAACAACACGTCAGTGAGCTCTACACTGGAAAGTAATGACTTCCACCCTCTGAAAGCATGTTTTCAAATATGTTCAAATAATCTATCAGTCTTTTTAATCTTGTCCAGTTTACATTGATATGAAACAGAAATGCATCAAATCCTCACATTCGATACAACATGTTTCTATTAAATACTCACATCGACTGCACTGAATCAAACATACACATACACATATTGAGTGGCAACATCATCTGTTCCCTGACACTTCCCCATATCCTATGACTGATTCATCCTAACCTCCCACAAACACACTTCTTTATTTACTCACCTAAACGTATGTGTCATGTTCTCAGTAGAGCACAAACCTTCGCCAAAGCCCAACAGTCCCCTTTGATTATACACATTTTACACATTCATAGATATCAGTTCCCTAAATGTACCTGATTTTCTTTATCAAGATTAGTGAATTATTCTCTGGAAAATAGTGAAAATGTTGAAAGAAAAAATGAAGGGAAAAAATTCCCCCTGATCCGATCCACACCAAAATTGAATGGGTTCTTCCCTGATCTATGGTGGTTGCTGACAAACATACAAACAAATGGGCAGGGATGAAAACAACCTCCTTCATGGAGAAATAAAAACTGATTGTGTTACTTATCAACTACTGACCTCCCGGTCACCCAGGTCACTCTTGTTGCCCATAACAATAAAAGGGAAGTCAGCTGGGACCTGGGGCTCAGCCTGGAGCAGGAACTCCTTCCTCCACAGCTCCAGAGCAGAGAAACTGGCTTTGGACGTGACATCAAAGACCAGCATGCAGCCGTGAGCTCCTCTGTACAGAGGTGTACCCAGAGACTGGAACCTCTCTGTTCCTGCCGTGTCCCACAGCTGACACAGGGAGAGGAAGAGGGAGAAGATTAGATAAATCTTTATTATCCTCTGTAGATGAAATACACGAATGACTCAGCAGCACAATGGATAAGCAGCACAAGTCGAAAATGTAGTAAGAATGAAAAAGGAAATACTGTATACAAGGCTGTTTTTATAATGTGCTTTATAAGATGAGCATAAAGGTTGTGTAATCGTGCAATTTGTCCAATTTCTTTGTAATACACCATATGTACAGAGGAATGGACCGTGATGACTTTTAGTAGCAATGGAGGATGTCAAAGTAGAAACTGTCCACATGCATCAGTGTCCTGCTCCTGGACATGAGGTCAGACAGTAGAGTTACCTGCAGAGTGACTGTGTGTCCGTCTATGTTCAGTGTCTTAGAGAGGAAGTCAGTTCCTATGGTGGCCCGGTACATGTTGGTGAAGCGGTGATTCACATATCTGTTCATGAAGGAGGATTTACCCACCCTGAGTAAACACACACACACACACACACACATAAACACACAGTCAAGTGTCCATGACATCACATAGACTTGATTTCCAGGAGACATTCTCTAGAATTAACCAAACTGTAGCTACTAACCTTGATCATAACCTAACTTTAAAACACGACTTCACCTTAAAATGAATGATACATGTCATTCCCTCAACACACACACACACACACACACACACACACACACACACACACACACACACACACAGGTACATGTGCAGCATACTCCAGTCTCTCTCCTTCTACAGAAACACTACAAACATGTCAGATGCGGATAAAACCTCCAGTCAGCATAAATCTCAGCCTCAGAAACTGAAAGTTACTGTCGATGCAGCCATGAAGCGAACATTCATTTTACATGAAGTCATGTGTGGAGACAGAAGCTGGTGGACTTTACCCAGAGTTTCCAATGAGGACCACTTTCAGAGTCACACCCGCTTTCCCTTCGTTCATGTTCACGTTTGTTTCCACCGGAGCTTCAGCTGCTGGTGATCCCTTCAAGTGCTGCTCGGGAAATCTTCACTTTCGATTGTTTGACGTGCGCTGCCAGCATAGGCTGGAAGTTAATGAGGGCCCATGTTCAAATCTAGAGAGGTCATAAATCAACCACCACCTGCAAGTATTAGTTTAAATTATGTTTTATAATCATCCACTGTGGTTGTTACGAAAACTAAAGAGTATTACTAAGAAAGAAAGAAAGCCTGACACTCATCACACGTGCTCTTCCCACCTCACCACTAAAACACAGAGACGAGTCACTGTCTGGACATGAATCATGATTCCATATTCAAATGTGGAAAAGGAAATTAAATGGACTTAAGACTTGTGGGGTAAAACTATATTAGTTTATATGATTATTGTATTCGTGTAATATTTATACTTCTGTATTTCTAATTTGTACTTTTTTCTTGATTATG